AAAAAGAAAAGCAAATGACCTACGAATGAGTTTAAGAAAAGTCAACATCTTGAGGTGTCACATTTGGGAAAATAAATCTCAGTTGCTATTTCAACTTTTTTTCCCAACAGATTGATAATTAGGGGAAAGTACAAGTTTACTGAGATGAGACCTAAGAAACAGTAATGACTAAATTTTAAGTACTTGAAATTTCAATTTTAAGTCAGTCTTACTTCCATGTCTTTAGAAAAACAGGATTGACAATGGAAGTAACCCTAGTCATAGGGAGATGGAAGAAAATTCTCCAAGTGCTCTGTTGTTTCCCCTATGAACAGGCTAGGACGCGGTGTTTTAGTGGACCACTGCCCAACAAAAGCACTTCTTGTTACAGGTGCTTAAATTCAGGGCAGGGGACGTCATGGCTTTCTACTTTGCCACACAGCCTCAGGGACCCATTTCCTCCTGTTGACTGTTCAACCTTAGTCTTCTACAAGGAACCTGCTTGGCATTTGTGCAAACCTTTCAACCTGTGGTCCGTCCTTACTGTCTCAGACTTCAACACTGCACAAGGTCATCCCAGCCACATCACACTCAGACCTATATTCAAGGTCCACACTGGTGACCCCAGAGCCGAGCACAGTGCTGGCTTCTCACCAATGCCATCTAAACACTGTTGAGTAGACAGATACAGTGACCAAACCAGTTGCCATTGAATCAATTCCAACTCATGGAGATCCCATGTGTGTCAGAGTAGAACTGTGCTCCACAGGGTTTTCTGAAAGTAGATTGCCAAGCCTTTCTTCTGAGGCATTTCTGGGTGGACTTGAGCCTCCAACCTCTCAGCAGCCGAGTGTGTCAGCTGTTTGCACCACTCAGTGACTGCCAGACATGGTGAATTAGAGGTGAATCCATTGTCCAGCTATGTGTCCTGATTACTAGCTCAAAGCTTTGTCTGCTAACTATATTTCATAGTTTCACCTACGAATCAGGGCAATGGGTTTGCCAAAATAAGTCTGTACTTTGTTGCAATTCTAGTATTAAAATTGGAGCGAGGGGGTTAGAAAACAAAAACAAAAAATCTCATTTTGGAGCCGATTTTCAAATATGGAGAATAGGAATCAGTTCATGAGAAATGACAATAATGAAATAAAACAGAATTTGCATATACTTGTTTGCACAACATGTGTGTTAGGGGGATGGATTGAAAGAAGAATGAAATTCAATGGCAAGAAATGAGAAAAGCCTACTTTCCCATGACCTCATCTCTTCCCCTGTAATGATTCTAACAGATGTTCCTTCTGTAGTAGACTTTTGACCTTAAAAAGGTAGTTTTGCTGTGCTCCCCAGTTATTTTCTCCCTGACCGCCCTTAGATCTTTATTTACAACAATGACGAGACTACTTACACTTAAATAAAGTTCTACTTTTGACAAATGTAGAATTGCCCCATAAGGTTTCCAAGGTTGTAATCTTTACAGAAACCAACTTGCACATCTTTCTCCCAAGAAGCATCTGGCAGATTTGAACTGCCAACTTTACTGTTAGCAGCCAAGCATTTTGCGTTAAGCAAATCTGCTGCAGAAGACCTCTTTAAAGTGTTAAAAAGCAAATATGTCCAAGCCATGGTATTTTCATGAGGTATATTCACCTCGTATGCATGCCAGAGCTGGACGATGAATAAGGAAGACTGAAGAAGAATTGATGCATTTGAGTTATGTGTTGGCGAATAATATTGAATAATGGACTGCCTGAAGAACAAACAAATCTGTCTTGGAAGAAGTACAACCAGAGTGCTCCTTAGAAGGTGAAACTTCATCTCACTTCCTTTGGACATGTTATCAGGAGGGATAAATCCCTGGAGAAGGATATCATGCTTGGTAGAGGATCAGTGAAAAAGAGGAAGACCCTCAGTGAGATGGATTGACACAGCGGCTGCAGAAATGGGCTCAAACATAGCAATTGTGAGGATGGCACAGGACTAAACAGTGTTTTGGTCTGTTATGCATAGGGTCACTATGAGTTGGAATCTATTTGATGGCACCTAACAGTAACAATTTACAAACGACTTCAAATACATTACCTGATTTGATCACTGGGGAGGTAAGTAGGGCAGATATCACATTCCCTCCCCCCACCCCCCCAATCTATAGAAATTCTATCTTATGATGTGTGTCTGGAATGAATTCAGAATACTTTCTCATGGGCACTCACATGGGGGCTCACGTGATCGGATAAGAACGAATCTTTCTCCCCACTAGGCAGTGAGCTGACTTTTAGATATTGCCCTATAAGGTTCAAAGTATGTTAAACCAAAAATCAAAACACCCACTGCTGTTGCATCGATTCTGTCTCATAGCAATCCCACAGGACACAGCAGAACTGCCCCACAGGGCTCCAAGGCTGTAAGTCTTTACAGGAGCAGACTGCCACATCTTTCTTCCGAGGAGCAGCTGGTGTGTTCGAACTGCCAACCTTTCGGTTAGCAGCCAAGTGCTTTAACTACTGTGCCACCAGGGCTCCTTTCAAAGCATATTACAAATGGTTTTTTCAGGAGAACTGGATGAGCTTTAGAGATTGGCCTTAAAATGATGGAGTTTAGAGTTAACTCCCTAAGTGTTGTTTGGAGAGGAAGACAGTACCGATGAATGGACCGAAAACAGAGATGGTATCTAATTTCCTTCCTCCCAGCTCCACTGTGCAATCCTGGTTACACCTCTTGATCTTTCTGCATGTCAATGTCCCATGGAGAGTCTGTGGTCGCCAAGGGAACCAGCCGTCATCAATTATACAACCTTACAGAGCAGAAACCTCGGGTGTCATAAATATGGTTTAATACAGGTCTCTGCCTGCTTAGTGCTCAGGGTTGCTTTCTATCATGTGGCCAGGAAAATAATAAGAAACAAACTTTGTTTCTTCTGAGAGTGGAGGGAAGCTAAAGACAGAGTAAATTAGGCACATTTCCACTCGAAGTCTAATCTCGCCAGCAGGTGGTGCTGTGACAACAGCAATCAAGAGAAACAGGTCAGAACAGGTTGGGTATTGAGACTGGCTCTGGTGCCCACGTAAAGCTGGTGAGTGTTCCGTGGGCAGTGGCTGCGGGGCAGGAGGCTTGAGAGCACACGTGGACACACGTGGCTGATCCAACACCAAAACCACTTCGAGGGGCCTCATTCGGGAGTTGAATTCTACTAGTCCAGCTGTAAGCCTCATCAGAGCTTCTAAGCATCTGCTCTAAATGCTGCCACCCACTCCCACTGCACACCCCCTTTCCCAGTGATCTGGATTTCCCAGCAGGAAGGAGGGAATACAACAGGCAGGGATGGCCCTTCTTCCTAATCCTCCACCCTACAGGTCTTATAGTTCCAGGGGTCTTCAAATATTAATAAGCTCTTTAGTTTTATAAGCAGTTCTACAACATAAGACACTCTTGAAGAACAGAAATGAAATGACACTCCTCAAGAAATAATTGGGAAAGCTCCTCTGCAGGAGCATGGAAACCTAGTACTGTGTCTGCTCTCTGCTCACTTAGCATGCGCTCACTTGAATCATCTTTCCATCTATGTGCCCTATTTACCCTCAACTCCCAAAGGCACAGTTTTACTCTTCATCTCCACAGGACCTTTAGGGTAGTGTGTGCCCAGTGTGACTCACTGACGTAGTGAACACAGAAACGAGCACCGACCAAACTGGCGGACTTAGGAGAACACCAATACCAAGCCTTGGGCCCCCTTCTCCAACAGCCACAAAGCTAGGAAGCTCAGGCACATCTGTGGATGGGCCCTGCTGGCCCCAGTGGCTGCTCCTGACACAAGTAGCCACTGTGGGATCACCATAGAATCCTCAAGTGACTGCTGCCTCAGCTTACCACACTCAGGGCGGCAGGTTCTGACCACTCTCAAAGTGAGCTGGAGTGGAAGCGAGATGCACACTGAAGGGCTGCGCCTGCTCCAACCCAAGGCCACAGATGACCCCTTCCTGGAGGGGGATTTAAGAACTGAGGAAGTAAGCCTGGATCTCCTGTGGTGAACAAAGCAGGGGTGTGAACTAGGAGCCTTCCACTGGAATGGAGCAGGGAATGTGCAGGTGGACAGGTTCTGCTGAGTGGAGCTGGGCTCAGTGACCCCCAAGGGCTTGGCCCCAGTTCACAGCTGAGTGCCTGCTAGGCTCTGTACGTCTTGCTCACTTGGCCACGGGCTGGGCTGAGATGAGCTCAGTCTTCTTCAGAGGCCTTAGTGGTTTCCAAGGAGGACAGTGTGCAAGTGGCCCTACATATAAGTGATGTGCCGATGTTACATCACAAAGCCAGTCCACTGACCTGGCCACCTGGTGAAGGAACAGTTAGTCACTGAACCCATGAGCTAAGAAATGTTCATTGCCCTGGTCACTGAACTAGCCAGGTACCACTCATGGGAGGACCTGAGAAGGAAGCCAGGGTCTATGGGGGAAGTTGATCCATGTGGGGGAAAGAAGACCAACAGCATCTGCACCACGTGGTTCACAACATGCGGGGTTTGGGAGGTGGGCTGTCCACAGTTGTGTAAATGTGGCTGGTAAGCCGGCTAGGAATGTCAGATTTCCTAAGGGCAATCTGTTGCACCTATGCTATTTCTGCTAGTGGTAGGAGTGAGCCAACCAGTTCTTGATTTTCAATGTTCAAATAAAAGATATATTAACCTGGTTGTGTGATCTAGGGACCCAAGGGAACTGAAAATGAACTTGGCTTTGCAAGAGTAGAAGTTTCCAGGGATCTCCTCAGTGTATCCTCTACCTCTTCCCCCTTTAACATCTACGCTACACAAAAATACCAAGAAACAGAAAGGTTGTACGATCAGCTACTTCTGCTGTTAGTCAAGGTTAATGCCACTACCTCATTCAATTTAGGTTAACGTCCTGGGTGTTTTCCCCTTTAAAAAAAAAGAAATATCTGATAATCCCAACATTCCATCCATTCATTCCAAACCCAAGGTGGCTGTGATCGTTTGCAAGACATCTGGCTACTGAGACAAACGTAGATGGGTCCGATACTTGTAAATTTTATGTTTATTATAACAAAAATTATGACTTGTTCAATTTGTGCATTCTGCTTTAATAGAACTCTTGGTATGTAAATAATCTAGTTAAACCCTATACAGTCATGCTGATGTGGCAGCAGTAAGGGACACAATTAAAAAGTGTCTCGGAGTCTAGGGGTAGGGGCGGTTGGGGGGGTGGTTCAGAGACTCCTGGGCGCAGGTTCCCGTCTTGTGGCCTACGATCGATCGCCCTTTCGTGAAGAGCGAGGCTCTAGCTGCTCAGCCTCATCATGTCAGGAACTAAAGGTGGGTTACGAGGAAGGGGTGGGCAGAGGGGGGAAGAGGAAAGTCAGTCATTTAGGCTGTGTCCTTATGCCGAGACTACAAAACGTTTTAAGCATCATTATACAACACTGAGCTGTTTACAATAGAAATATCTCAATCAACTGTTCTCGCAGAGAAAATTAGTGAGTCCCAGTGACTTAAGTCACCTGACAGAGTAAAGCAACTCCTAGGAGTTAGTCTCCATATTCTACAAATGTCTATCATTTTCAAGACAAAAAAACAAAAAAAACCTTTCCCCTAAAGAAATACAGAATTACATTACTACATCATTTCGCACTTGCAACCTGCCTTGCCTTCCGAACAAACGAAACAACAAAAAGCCATTTTAAAAAATATTACATTAACTGTTTCTCTGTAATATATTAAAACTTTTGTTCTTTGTCTTTACACATCTGATATGTTAGGGGAAGAAGTTAACAAATTTAAATCATATTGGTAAAGCATCACTAGAAGAAAAGTGGTAATTACTATTAAAAAAAAAAAAAAACAACAGGAAAGAAAGAGAACCTACAGATTAGCTGCAAAGACAGGTTGGGGGAGGGAAGTGGGAGAAGGAGGTGGAGTAAAACCCCTGGTTTAATGTGAGCCTAGGAGACTCTTGCAACACGGTCTTTCTTGGTTAGTTTATTTGTAAATAGTGTTCAGACCAGGTCATAGTGGTGTATCGTAATAGTCCAGCAGCTGGTCCATCGGATACTGCCGCTGCGGTGGCTGCTGCTGTAGCTGCGGTTGTTGCTGCTGCTGCTGCTGCTGTTCCTGGTGATGCTTCATGATTTCTTTGACTTCTTCTTCCAGCTCTGGGGGTATGATAAACTGGTCATCAGGATCCGGCTGAGCTGGGGCAGCAAAGTAGCCCCCAGGCTTTCGGAGAGGTGCATCCGTGGCCACCTCTATCACATTGTGGCTCCTTTCCTGGGGTGCTACTGAGCCATTAGCCCTCCGGCGCCCAATGGTCCCCAATGCAGAAAAGTCTGCTTTTCTGGGCAGTCCGGGCTCGTCCTCGTTGGCACTGATGACAATGCCCTCATCGCTGGCCTCAGCTGGCACCTGTAGCAGGCTCTGCTGCCTCTCCTTCTCCTTGGCCCGGCTACAGTGGATGTCCACCTCCACCTCCACCCGGCTGCCATTGGTGAAGACGCCCTCGATGGGCTGTTCATCATCACTGTCAAGCCCATTGTCAGAGAAGGCGCTGGAGAAGGTGGCACTGGACAGCTGACGCTGGAAGGAGTTGGAGAGGCAGATGGGATGAAGCATGCAGCGCTGCTCACTGGGGTACGCGGGGCTGCTCTCGTTCAGGGCTCCGGAGGGGGGCTCGTCAGAGGCTGTCGACCCCACCTCGCTGCTCATCTCCGAGGTGGAGATCTCGCTGCTGATCTCCGAGGCCATGCCGCTGCTGGAGGAGGGCACGCCCAGCCCGTCAGAGGGCCGGTCCTTGATGACCATGTTGACGGAGGAGGGGAAGATGCCTGGGCTGGGCGGAGGTACTGCCCCGCTGGCACTGAGCTCACAGCAGCAGAAGCTGTCCTCGGTGACATTGAGCTGTACCACCACCGCACTGATGCTGTCGTGGCAGCCATAGCTCTGGGCCAGGGTGCACAGCTTCTTGGCAGCGGCCAGGGCGTCAGGCACGTTCCGCACGGCCTCCACGGCCTCCTCGATGCACAGGCTGTCCCACAAGCCCTTGCTGCCGAGGATGAAGAACTCATCCTGTGGGGTCAGCGTCACGGACTGCACATGGGGACGAGGCACCACGCTGGGGTGGAGGAACGTGTAGCCCAGGATGCGGGTGGACTCGGTCACGCCATTCACCTTGCCGTCCTGGAGGAAGAAGAGGCCAGACAGTTAACACTCTACACATGGGGCGGCTTCCCTCCGGGCCTCCTGACTACAGGACCACCAGACAGGACTTCTCCCCTCTTGTGAACAGTTAGTGTCCCCTGCCACCAGAAAGCCCTGGGTGAGTCAGGAGTAGCAGGGACAAAGAAAACTATTTCAGGTATTCCCTTTATTGGAACCATGTTCACACTAGGTAGAGCAAGATCTGTATTTAATCCCTTACACGGCAATCCAGGTTGATCAGCTCCCCTGTAAACCCACAGGATTAAGCTTTTCTGAAATAAGCCACTCCTGAGCAGACAGACAAGTGAGTCAAGATAATACCCACCCACCCCCAGTCCTGTTTCCCTGTAACAGTATATCAACCAAGAATGGCAATACTGTCTGAGTTCTAGAAGACAAGACAGACACTGTTTAAACTTAAGAAGGTTAAAAGAAGCCCAGTACTTAGTGTGGGGAGAAAATCTTGGTGTGACTAACAGGGGAAGAATGCACAGGCCTGAAGAAGGGCCAATTCTCATAATTTCCTTGAACTTGATTTCCTGGTGGCAGATGGAGAGGGCAAAGTCCCCTGGTTTTTGTTCAGTTGGGCTCATGCCACTTGAATCACTAGCCAAAGTCTTTGACCATTTGCCAACAAAAAGACCTCGACTCGGAATGCCAGAGGGGAGAGGGGGACTCACCCAGCGTACCTGTTCAGTTCTCTATCCTTACAAGTTTGAGGCTCTCGGGTCCACAAAGTGCCTCTATCTGCCCCATACATGTTTTTTTTTTTTTTTAATCTATTATTTTTTACTGTGGTGAAAATATGCACAACAAAACACTCACCAATTCAACGATTCCTACTTGTATAATTCAGTGACATTGGTTATGTTCTGCATGTTGTACAACCATTATCACTATTCTTTTACAAATCATTCTACCACCATTAACATAAAGTCAAAGCTCTCTCAGCAAAAACTCCCCCTTCGCTTTCCCTCTCCCACTCCTGGTTAACCACTAATAACCTTTGGTTTCTATACATTTGCTTATTTCACATAAGTAAGATCATATAGTATTTGTCCTCTTGAGACTTATTTTGCTCAGCATAATGTTTTCAAGATTCATCCACGTTGTGGCATGTATTAAGACTTCATTTCTCTTTATGGCTGAGTAATATTCCATTGTATGCATATACCACATTTTGTTTATCTATTCATCTGATGATGGACAGGTGCACTGTTTCCAACTTTTGGCTATTGTGGAAAGTGCTATAATGTACCTGCTCCTATTTTTAACACCTATTTCTGGTAAGGGAGCCCTGGTAGCATAGTGGGTAAGAGCTTGGCTGCTAACCAAAAGGCTGGTAGTTCAAATCCACCAGCTGCTCCTTGGAAACCCTGTGAGGCAGTTCTAGGCTGTCCTATAGGGTTGCTATGAGTCGGAATTGACTCGATAGCAATGGGCTGGTTTTGGTTATTTCCAATAAAGGCTCCATTATAGCAAATGCAACTTCTAGTATGTGTCAAGGATGAGGTAACTATACAAAGATGGTTTCACCATCTACCTTGAGTGTTTCTTCCAGAGAATATCCATTTCCTGTCCACCCTACCACCTTCCTTTGTGATTTCACAAGGTGTTTGCTTGTTGTTCTGGGGGTGACAGGTTTTAGTTTAACTCTCTGCCTTCCCCAACTTTTCACAAAACCCTCCATGTCACACTCACACTCAGGTAGCATTCTTAAAGGTAAAATTAGCAAAATAAGGTTTCAAGCGCATTTAAACTCTCTTCATTCTACTGATGTAATTTGTGCTTCTCAGATGATGGAACGTGGCAAAACCTACCTTTCCTATTCTACCCAACACCTTAGACTTCTCCCCATCAGGACCAATGGTTTTAGTGTGTGTGTGTGGGGTGGGGGAGGCATGTCTCAAGGTAGAGTAGCAAGAAAATAAAAGGGGGCTGAGTGCGCAGCAATGCAGACAAAAGTGAAGAAGAGAAAGCACAAAGAACAAGGGAATGTCTGAAGGACAAATTGTGATTCATTTCTGTAGGAGAAAGTACATCATGGATTTCAACCCAAAAGATCATTAACCCTTGCATCATCTCTGGCATACTGTGGAACATTTCCTCCAATACCTTCTGAACAATCTCAGTCTGTCTGCTTCCTAGCATGCTGGACAGTGACCCGTTTTCATCCTCTCTGCTCCTAGAATAGGCAGGGAACTAAAACATAGACCCGTTTCCACAGAACCCCATGGTATATCTTGAGTCTTTCTATATCTTTCTTATGTCCCTTATCAAAACCTATCTGGAATCGTTTTTTTAATCTACTGGACCACAAATTCCCACCACAGTCTATCTTGAAATCCAGACAGATCTGGGTGTTTTCTCTCCTTTACGAGACTGTAAACTTCGTGTAGGCAGATGTGGTACCAGTCTCCCTTCTGAATCCTCACATCATTTTTCAGGCACTTAGCAGTGATCTATAGTCTGGGATGAATTAATAATTGAAGTATAATTCCTAGAGCCCACTTAGCAGTTTCACTGGCAAAGTATTTTGTTATACTGTAATATAACTGCACTAAAAGTTTTCTCAACAGCAGCCCTACTGATTTTTTGCACCTGATAATTGTTTGTTATGGGGGGTCCAATAATTTTTTGTTGTCCTGTGCACTGTGGGATGTTGAATAGCATCACTGGCATCTACCCACTACATGCCAGTAGCACCCTCTTCTCCCAGTTGTTGTGACAATCAAAAATGTCTCCAGACATTGCCAACCATCTCCTAGGTGACAAAATGGCCCTGGTTGAGAACCACTGCCTTACTGACATAGAACACAGGAGGCATGAACTCAAACCATACCTGGCTACATTTGCTCAGGCTTCTGTAGTTTTGAAACACTAGCCTTGTAAGATAGGACAGATACGTCACTATTCCCACCTTACAGATGGGGAAGCTAAGGCTTAGAGAGGTTTAACCGTCATCGCCTACAAGTGGCAGAGCTAGGATTTGAATATCGGCAGTGTGATGTCAGGGGTAAGGCCTTCAACCACCAAACAAACCTGCGCCTTCCCAGACTGGCTGTGAGGGTCAAATATAGTCATGCCCATTAAGGACTTACCATAGTACCTGCAACAGACGTGCTCGATAAATGCTTTATTATTCGATATATTATGATGCCCTTAGACATCTCACACAAGGAATTTGCATTATGGCACTATGGATATGGAATTTTAATTTTAAACCAATTTCAAAGAATGTTCTTTGAATGGAAATGCTGCTTAATTTGCTTCTGCCATGACCCTGACCCTCCCTGCCATCCTGAGGAGAACCATTCTCTGCTCACCTCTGTGATGATGGCCTTGTGCTGTTTGATTCTCTTCAGTTCTTCCTCACAGCTCATGCTGTAAGATCTAGACAGAGGTAATGGCTTCCCGTTCCGACAGAGAACCGTCTGGCACTTGCCCACGTTAGCTGAGGTCAAGGTGAAGGACCCACCTGGGTCCACAGGGTCATGCTTGATATGACAAAGGACAGCAGCACCTCCAAGTTTCTGCCCAGCAGTTCCCAGTTTCCTGGAATCCAAAGAGTAAAAACCTAAACACAATCCATCACAGGTCTATTTTGTTAATTCCCACACAGAGAAAGACTGTACCACTGGACAGGATTAGGAGAAAGAAAACCCGAGGAATTCAATTCAGCCTCTTTCATCCAAGTATGCACTGCTCCACTTCTCAGAGGAAAACGCCCATTGAATCGAACCTCACACACCTCTCTCACAGAGGTGCTGCTCACAACGGGGGAAGCGTCACCTCAACACTGAAGCCACAGGAGCTGATCTGGAATAAAGGAGGCCTTTGGACTGCTGCGTCCAGCTGGTTACCCCTAGGCCACTAACTGCCCTATCAGCGTACTCCAAAGATAGCAGTAAAGGACCACTTCTCTTCCCAATCACCTCTAAATTCCCTCTGCTCCCAGGAGAGGAAAATTGAAGGGACCACTTAAATTAAGAGCAGGTTAAATTTAAATACTAAGTCCACTGATGCATATACTTCTAAAGGACTGACCACCTCTTCTCTTTCATAAGATGTTTCCATCTTGGACCATCCATGCTCTTGCCTGACACAGTGAAGCCTTCTGGACCAGTACTGTCTACTCTAGAATATTCACACACATGACCTTCGAATAATAATCTGGCTCCAAAGCACTTGTGATTTATCCTTTTATTTGAGACCACTAATTCACAGACTTATTAGGACACAAGTTCCCATAATCAATAGAGGCAAAGAACTCCTATAACATGTCCCACAAAGGACAATACCTCCCAGACCCCGCCATTCCTGGGCAGTACAGGAGCAAGGGTAACTCAGCCTCTGCTGTCTTACAAAGGCAGACTCTCAGGTACTGCCAGCTCACATCGCATGGCTAGGTGAATCAGGTGGCAATGCTAGCATTGGAAACCAGGGCTCCTACCCTCGTGAATCAGGAGATCATGCAAAAGAACATACAGTTCCCCTAAGGATCAAAAAGCTCATCACACATCCCACACCCTACTAACAAATACGGAAAGTAAGAAGTATGCAAAGATACTGGAGATAGGCCCTCAATCGCATCTCTAAACTCCTAGCTTCTGGACTTGCATGACCACATTGGGCTTTAGACCTTTCCAAGCCAGCTCTAGTTTCTTCCTTTCAAAGGCACAATGGTTCCTTTTAGCAAATCCAGAAGCAGGATGGTATTTGTGAAAAGTACAGTTGGCAGTACTAGTAATCAGAGTCTGGGTTTCTTAGTTTTTGTATGTGAGGGTCCATAAAAAGCAGACCTCCTGGGGTTGTGAAGGGCATGTGTGTGGTATGGTGTGGTGTGTGCATGTCTGTGTGTGTGATATGCACTTGCTTCTTTTCTAGGACAAGATGACGGTAAAAACAGAAGCGTAGATGTGCTCAGTAACTGAGAGAACATTCTCTGGACTCATTGCCTGAGATCTAATCCCGACTCCACCAGTTACTAGCTCTCAGGTAATTTGTTTAACCTCTCTGTACCTCAGTTTCTCAAAGTAAAATAAGAACAGTAACATTACCTATCTCACTGGCTAACATTTCAGCATGTAAAGTATTTAGAATAATGGCTGATACATATCACAGGCTCACTAAATATTAGCTCTTATTATTTGATTGCCAGCTGTGCATGTACACTGAGAATCCGAAAGACCAGTTTAGCAGTAGAACGCCCAACTCGGCCTGCCTCTACCAAGTTCTTTAAGAAGAACTGTTCTTGACTTACAGCATAACTTTAAAGACTGCTCTTAACCAGCAACCCTTAGCAGATATTTCTACCCTTGTTATGAAGCTACTTCCTCTCACAAATCATTAAGGAAGGGAACTGGGAGAGAAAGAGAGCTCGTCAGTGTTGCCATGACCTTTCCAGCACAAGTACCTTCTTCTTTACTTTCTGGTTGGTCTCACCTCAGCAAATGTTTGCAGGATGACATTTAGAAACAGGGAATTCCTCTACACCCTCCAAAGCCATTACAGTGACAAAAGAACAAGCAATTTTTTGAATGAGGGTCTCTTTATTACATTTAGCCCTCAGAGTTACAAATAACATTCCATAGTTCTATGGTGACCTAAAGCTCTGTTACAGATGGAAGCTTTAGGAAATGGCCCAGGATTCTAGTAACACTGCCCTGAATAACAGGGGCAGGGGCGGAGGTGGGCAGGGGCGACATATGAAAAATGATTTTACTCCTGAATCTAAAATTTGACCATCTCAAGATCACAAAGCTAATTGGTTTGTGGTATTTCAAACCACTGAAAGTATTTCATAAGGGTGAACACACAGGGATAGAAATGAAATGGTACATTTCAAAGAGAAGGCCAGACATCGGAAGGTCTAAGGAGCCTCTGGATTTCACCTGATTTCGGGGAGGGGGTGTTGTGAACATTCTAGAGAAACCTGGAAGCATGACAGGACTGTGAGGTCCAGTTCTAAGAGAAACTGAATTCCTATCATCAACTCAGCCTCATAGAAGGTTGTCTGGACACCACACTGGAGTGTAGTTCACCCCTGATGCTGAGCAACATTGAATTACCCAGATGCACCTTACGGGTCTGCGTTCAACAACAGTATCTGAGCACCTATCTTTCTGACCAGAGGGCAAACACTCAAAGAGAGCCAGAGTACACAGCAGGGACTCTTTAAGTTTTACCTTTGCATAACAATGAATGTATTGACCATGTACTCTTCTTCATGCTTTGTTTTCTGTAGTTCTTCAGCCAGAATGTCACTCATGGTGCACTGGAGAAGGTAGGGCACCTCCACATTGCGGTCTCCATCAAATACACCATACAGGGCCTCCCGGTTGTCACAGAAGTTGTTCACTGACAGGGCAGCAACACACAACCTGCAACACAAGAATGCTTTTGTGCTAAGTCCACTCATCTTTCCTTCCCCATCCGTCCCCAGCCCAACTCTCTCTTTTTTTTTTCTAACTTCGTTGACCCCATGTGGGCTCAAAGACTATGATGGCATGGTCTTGGCTCTTTCTTCATGACTTCTGAGAGATTAAAGATAGGTAAACTGAGCCCAGCTAATTTATATGAGGGACAGGGGTGGGGAGCAGAACTGACAACAAAGGGGCATGGGGGAGTTCTAGGGGGCGATGGAACTGTTCTATATCTTGACTGTGGTGGAGGTTACAAGACTATATTCTTTTGTCAAAACTTGCAGAACTACACACTAAAAAAAGGTGTATATACAAAAAAAGTATATTTACTGTATATAACTTGTGACTTTTTATGGTATGTAAATTAATAAAAAAGAAAAAAATGTATTAAGAACCTGCTATGTTGGCACAGTGGTTAAAGTGCTCAGCTGCTAACTGAAGGGCTGACGGTTCAAACCCACCAACCACTCCATGGAAGAAAGATGTGGCAGTCTACTTCCGTAAAGATTACAGCCTTGAAAACCCTACAGGGCCATTCTATTCTGTCCTGTAGGGTCGCTATGATTAGGAATTGACTCGATGGCAACGGGTTTTGTTTTTTGGTGGATACCATATATACCACATATACAAACCTATTATTTATTTGGGATAAGAAATGATGACCATAACCATTATTAATAACAGTAGTAACTAACACTTAAATAGGTATGCATATATAACTCATATGATCCTTCTAACAACCCTACAAGGTAGGTAATATTTTTAGTGCCATTTTACAGGTGAGAAAATCAAGCAAGATGTTGAGTAACTGTCCAAGGTCATATAGCAAATAAGTCTAAAACCCGGATTCAAAGTCAGTCAGTCTAGCTTTTATCCTAGTGTTTTGAAATTCTTGCCTCCATTTATTAAGAAAAACAAGTCATCCTAAATTATATGGAAATTAGGAAAAAGTTAAATTTTATGACATTAAATCACCTTATACTTCTGTCTTCCTCCTGTAATTCCTTCCTAGTCAGAAAGCGGCTGTTTTTTTGGTTTTTGTTTTAAAGAAAATAATGTGCTTTTAAAAAAAAGTACAGTAGTGATCATTCTTAGGATTTCTTTTCCTCTGAACCTTTCTCTTTGTTTTTCAGTCTGAGTAAGAACCAAATTTTCCAAGTGCCACTCCCTGCTTGGGTTTTCCTCAAGAGTCTGAAATGACCTGAAAGGGAGGGGCAGGAGGGAGGGAGAAATGAGAGTAGACATCTACTGAGACTTGGAGGCAGGGATCATATAGTCCTTCCCTCCCACGATCACATGCAGCAAGCTACTTGTTTAAATTACCCTTGTATCTACAATGCAAAAACGAAAGACTTGAGAAACTTCTGCAGGCAAAACCAAAGGGTGAAAAGCAAGGGAGATTAAATAAGGGCAGGGAGTGGCATGGGACTTCGGTGGTGCCTGGAATGTTCCATTTCTTCATCTAGACCACAGGTTAGAGGTGTGTCCACTTTAGGACAATTCACAGAGTTATACACTTATTGTTTATGTACTCTCCTGCACTTACATTATTCTTCAATACAGGTAGTCCCCAGCTTACGAGGGGGTGCCATTCCAATGACTCACCATCGTAAGTTAGTTCTAATGTAAGTCGAATATCTCATTTTTTTTTAAGTTTTCATTATTATTGCTTTTTATTATCAGTATCTTTATAAATCTTATGTTCATTTGTCTTTGGGGGTTGGCATGAGAATGATAACATCAGCAAATTAGCGCTGCAACATTGTACATAGTACATATTACTAATGGTAAGATGTACAACAAAAAAAGGACGGTCTTAAGTATGGTTTGTTGTAAGTCAAACGACGTAGGTCGAGGACTACCTGTATAACAAGTTAAAAAAAGAAAAAAACAACTAAATCAATTTCTAAGGCAGAGATGAGAACTTTAAGGGACACAGAGAGTAAAAACTAACAGAGGTGAAACAATACGGGCAGAGATGACGGAGAATGGTGATACAATGTGTAAGAAAGTAACGAGTGGCACTGATCTGTACATGTAGAAATTGTCGAACAGGGTGTATGTTTTGTTGTGTATATTTTCACCAAAAACAATAACAACAACAACAAAACCCACATCTAACTGGTCACTTGTTTCATGAATATATATGAACTGGTAATAAATTTTAATGTCCTTAGATGTTTAAAAGCCAGTCTCGGATTTCACATCAGTGATCTGGAATTAGAAAGCATTTTCACATACTGGTGTTTGTAAGCAAGACATAAGGTACTTTAATCTAAAAAGTGATTGATCTTCAAAAAGTAACTCTGAATGCCCTAAATAAAGCATGCACTAACTCTCTCCCTGTCCCCAGTACAATGATCAACAGACAGTGAGAAGCACAAAGAAATAATACAACTAGAGCCCAGGAGAATGGAGCTGAGTCTCCTCTGGTTATGCTGCCTCTACTGAGTCAATGGTGCAGATTCAAGTGGTCTGGGTTGGGGATTTTTTTTTTTTAGTTCTCCACTTGATTGATTCTAATGTGGATCTAGGCTTGAATACTAATGTTGGCTATTATTAGATCATTCCCTACTTTCTGTTCTTTCCCTGCTCTCATACTTTGTGTTCTGATACCTTGATTAAATTATAAATATTCTAATTTATAGAACTCTACTAGAACTCCCTGGGTGGTGCAAATGGTTAACATACTCGGCTGCTAAGCAAAAGGTCAGAGGTTCCAATTCACCCAGTGGTGCCTCAGAAGAAAGGCCTGGTGATCTACTTCCAAAAAAAATAGGCCACTGAAAACTATGGAGTACAGTTCTACTCTGACACACATGGGATCACACAGAGTCGGCTCAACTGGGTTTTTTACTTTTCTAGTAATTAGCACCTCTTCATAACGAGGTTATTCATAAAGTCTGTTATACGCAGGGTTGCTATGACTCCACGCTGACATGATGAAACTTAACAATAAGAACAGCAACTTCATCAAACACAAGCAAACCTGGAAAGCTTGACCTCAATTCTCAGGAAAATCAATGTTTGTAGCTAAGAGAGGGAAGGTTGGTGAGAATAGAGAAGAAAAAGAAATTAAGATGGGCAGGTCCTGGTGGTGAGGCAAGCAGTTGATGCTAAGTGAATGGACATCAAGTTGCTGCCAAGCTCACTTAGATGGTAAAAAACAGCTCCAGAGAACTACTGACAGGTCAATCATGTAAGTGATCTGGAATACGGACAATCAAGGCTACTTCTCCTTTAATACTATCCCTGTTTTGCTTGGTAAACAGGCTTCAGAGACAGATAAAGAGGCTTTTCAAAAGAGCAGGGATGCATTTCAATACTTAGGCCCTCTCCAAACACTGGAGTCTCACATAGGTATAATGTGTCAGTTATACTGTATCCTGGCAACAACTCTCACAAAGAGAGAGTATGTGATGCCAAGCAGGGCCTTAGCTTAACATCCAAACATAAGTCATGGCGTAGCCCCACTTTGGGGAAACTTCCACAAATAACTTTCACGTGAGAAAAGTATGTGCCAAATACTGGGTTTGTTTTTGCCTCACTAAAGAAGTGAGGCAGGCAGGAGGTAGTTCTTGCTCCAAGTTTGACCCAACTTACTTGTTTTTCACCCCGGAAGCTTCAGTGTAACCATGGCTCCATACGGCTGGGGCTCCTGAGGCGTCTCCTGCTGAAGGCTGGTCAATCTTGAAACAACGGATATTACTAGAAAGAGAAACAGGAAGGAAAACAGGCATCATTCAAACCAAACATGTGAATTGCTACCCTTATCTTAGAAAAGAAAAACACCTGCAAAGCACTCTGTACTTACCATTTATTACTGCGTTTAGTGTCTGAAATATTTACTAGCAGCAAGAACCAGCTACTCCTCATAATGAAAACCAACGGGCATATGTACAGAGCATGAACATTAATTCTTGTCGGCATTTATCAGCAGTTATTAGGGATTTTCACACAGATAACACTAGATGGCTGGTCTACTGGGAATTAAAAGGACAGCACTCAACCTTGGCTTGAGAAAACAAAATCTAAGTATGAAGTTGGATGTATTCTTACAGCATGAACACTCAGATATGAAAAGAACAAAATGTAAACCACAGTTACACTGTGTTTAGGTGATGTGAGAGAATTCTGAAACGTTCATTTCCAACTTCTTTCCTCACCAAGCCTTCAAATATTTAACAAATATTTTTGAGGATCTGTCCTCCCCTGAAGTGTCTAATTCTTCTTTTCACTTGCACAGCCCTCATGCTGAGACTAGTACATAAAATTAAATTTACGAACCAAAGGAGAGGATTGTAATGAATTATAATTGTTGTTGTGTGCTGTTGAGTCAATTCCGACTCATGGCGACCCTATATGACAGAGTAGAACTGCCCCATAGGGTTTCCAAGGCTGTGATCTTTATGGGAACAGATCGCCCATGGAGCCATTGGTGGGTCTGAACTCCCGATCTTTTGGTTTGCAGCTCAGTGCTTAATCACTGCACAACCAGGGCTTCTTTACAAGTTAATTACACATATTTATAACTGTTAATGACTTAAGTTCTTATCTCACCTCAGCCCCCACGTGCCAATAGGACCAAAACTGAAATATTAAGAGAGTAAACTCTCAAATGGGGCTTATTAAAAACAAGCCTACTCTTTTAAGGATTCAGTGCCCCCAATAGGAAGTCATAAGAAATGTGACGCAGGTTTTTAAGAAATCTTCTTAAAACCAAACAATAGTTTACCTTAACTAGTAAAGAATGTCTTCTTTGAGCACTGTGCTCGTTTAAGATCGAAATATGTTGTTGCTGTTGTTAGGTGCCATCGAGTCAGTTCCGACTCATAGTGACCCCATGTACAACAGAATGAAACACTGCCCGGTCCTGTGCCATCCGCACAATTGCTGTTATGCTTAAGCCCATTGTTGCAGCCACTGTTCCAACCCATCTCATTGAGGATTCCTCTTCTACGCTGACACTCTACTTTACCAAGCATGATGTCCTTCTCCAGGGACTGCTCTCTCCTGATAACATGTCCAAAGTATGTGAGACGTAGTCTTGCCATCCTTGCTTCTAAGGAGCACTCTGGTTATACTTCTTCCAAGACAGATTTGTTCGTTCTTTCGGCAGTCCATGGTATATTCAATACTCTCCAACACAATTCAAAGGCATCAACTCTTCTTCGGTCTTTCTTATTCACTGTCCAGCTTTAAACATGCATATTAAGGCAACTGAAAACACCATGGCTTGGGTCAGGCGCACCTTAGTCTTCAAGGTGATATCGTTGCTTTTCGACGCCTTAAAGAGGTCTTTTGCAGCAGATTTGCCTAATGCAATGCATCTTTTGGTTTCTTGACTGCTGCTTCCATGAGTTATTCATAGTGGATCCACGTAAAATGAAATCCTTGACAACTTCAGTCTTTTTCTCCGTTTATCATGATATTGCTTATTGGTCCAGTTTTAGAATTTTTGTTTTCTTTATGTTGAGGTGTAATCCATACTGAAGGCTGTGGTCTTTGATCTTCATCAGTAAGTGCTTTTTTAAGTCCTCTTCACTTTCAGCAAGCAAGGCTGTATCATCTGCATAATGCAAGTTGTTAATCAGTCTTCCTCCAATCCTGACGCCACATTCTTCTTCATATGGTCCAGCTTCTTGGATTATTTGCTCAGCATACAGATGGAATAGGTATGGTGAAAGGATACAACCTTGAAGTACACCTTTTCTGACTTTAAACCATGAAGTATCCCCTTGTTCTGTTCCAACGAGTGCCTCTTGATCTATGCACAGGTTCCTCATGAACACAATTAAGTGTTCTGGAATTCCCATTCTTCCCAAAGTTATCCATAATTTGTTATGATCCACACAGTTGAATGCCTTTGCATAGTCAATAAAACACAGGTAAATATCTTTCTGGTATTCTCTGCTTTCAGCCAGGATCCATTTGACATCAGCAATGATATCCCTGGTTCCACGTCCTCTTCTGAATCTGGCTTGAATTTCTGGCAGATCTGTTGATATACTGCTGCAGCCACTTTTGAATGATCTTCAGCAAAATTTTACTTGTGTGTGATATTAATGATATTGTTCCGTAACTTTTGAATTAGGTTGGATCACCTTTCTTGGGAATAGGCATAAATATGGATCTCTTCCAGTCAGTTGGCCAGGTAGCTGTCTTCCAAATTTCTTGGTGTAGACGAGTGGGCACTTCCAGGGCTACATCCATTTGTTGAAACATCTCAATTGGTATTCCATCAATTCCTGGAGCCTTGTTTTTCACCAATGCCTTCAGTGCAGCTTGGACTTCTTCCATCAGTACCATCGGTTCCTGATCATACGCTACCTCCTGAAATGGTTGAACATCGACCAGTTCTTTTTGATATAGTGACTCTGTGTATTCTTTCCATCTTTTTTTGATGCTTCCTGTATATTTTCCCCATAGATTCCTTCAATATTGCAACTTGAAGCTTGAATTTTTTTCTTCAGTTCTTTCAGCTTGAGAAATACTGAGCACATTCTTCCCTTTTGGTTTTCTATCTCCAGGTCTTTGCACACGTCATTATAATACTTTACTTTGTCTTCCTGAGCCACCTTTTGAAATCTTCTGTTCAGCTCTTTGACTTCATCATCTGTCTCTTTTGCTTTAGCTACGACGTTCAAGAGCAAGTTTCAGAGTCTCTTCTGACATCCATTTTGTCTTTTCTTTCTTTCCTGTCTTTTTAATGACTTCTTGCTTTCTTCATGTATGATGGATGCCCTTGTTGTCATTCCACAACTCGTCTGGTCTTTGGTCATTAGTGTTAAACGCGTCAAATCTATTCTTGAGATGGTCTCTAAATTCAGGCGGGATATACTCAAGGTCATACTTTGGCTCTCGTGAACTTGTTCTAATTTTCCTCAGTTTCAACTTGAATTTGCATATGAACAATTGATGGTCTGTTCTGCAGTCGGCCCCTGGCCTTGTTCTGACTGAAGATACTGAGCTTTTCCGTCGTCTCTTTCCACAGATGTAGTCGATTTGATTCCTGTGTATTCCATCTGGTGAGGCCCACCTGTATAGTCACCATTTATGTTGGTGAAAAAAGGTTATTTGCAATGAAGTCGTCTTTGGTCTTGCAAAATTCTAACATGCAATCTCCGGCATCATTTCTATCACTAAGGCCATATTTTCCAACTACCAATCCTTTTTCTTTGTTTCCAGCTTTTGCATTTCAATCACCAGTAATTGTCAATGCATCCTGACTGCATGTTCAGTCAATTTCAGACTGCAGAAGCTGGTAAAAATCTTCAATTTCTTCATCTTTGGCATTAGTGGTTGGTGCGTAAATTTGAATAATAGTTGTATTAACTGGTCTTCCTTGTAGGTGTATGAATATTATCCTATCACTGACAGCGCTGTACTTAGGACAGATGTTGAAACGTTCTTTTTGACGATGAGTGCAATGCCATTCCTCTGCAAGCTGTCATTCCCGGCATAGACCACACGGTTGTCCAATACAAAATGACCAATATCAATCCATTTCAGCTCACTAATGCCTAGGATATCGATCTATATAGGACCAAATTGACAACAGCAACTCAAAAAGTTAGACAGGAAACTTAGGAAGCAGTGAGTCTATGTTAATGGGGGAGAAAGAGCTCAAAAAAAGGAGGGAGAGAATGGCTGCACAACTCGAAAAATGTAATCTATGTCACTGAATTTATACACGTAGAAATTGTTGAATTGGTGTATGTTCTGCTGTGAATATTCTCAGCAACAACAAAAATAAATTATATTTAAAAAAATAACTGGCTACCACATGGTGAAATAAAATCCTGATACTTGTAAATTGCCACCAGTCCCCCCCCCGACCCCTATTATTTAAAAGAAAAAACATATGTATCATCTCTTATCAACTTAAACACTTTTGTCATGACCCCAAGAATGTAAAGTATCTCTTAGCATTCACTAACTCCAAATTATAACAAAAATGTAATACCTTTACTAAGAACTATTCAACTCTAAGAAGTAAATCAATATCTAACTAGTATTCACTTTGATTCTAGAAATAGATGATGACAATTTCTCTGGAATTTAAAAATATTTGATTAAAAAAGTTTCTACTCTCAATTATCAGCAAAGATTCACTTTTCCCATTATGCCAAAAAAACTGAAAATAAATAAATCATACATGGTGTCAAGAGAAAAGGCCCAAATCAAATTAATACCTCATTTTACAGGAGGGCTATACGTTCTGTTTTCAAGGTTTTCAATCTTATCAATTAAAGAGAGGCATATAAAAAGATGTTGTTAGGTGCCGTCAAGTCAACTCTGACTCATAGTGACCTCAAGTATAACAGAAGGAAACACTGCCCAGTCCTGTACCATCCTCACAAAAATAGGTATGTTTGAGGCCACTGTTACAGCCACCATTGCAATCCATCTTGTTGAGGGTCTCCTCTTTTTCACTGACACTCTCCTTTACCAAGCATGATGACCTTCGCTAGGGATTGGTCCCTCCTGACAACATATCCAAAGTTAGCAAGACCAAGTCTTGCCATTCTTGCCTCTAAGGAGCATTCTGGCTGTACTTCCCATTGTGATTCACTCTCTGTATCACCTGGTATGATATTTTATCCATATAAATTGGTAAATAATGTGATGGAGTCCTTAAGACATACCTTAAGGTTCTCATACATCTTCATGCATTCTAGGGAAAACTGAAGGCTCATTTCTAAAGG